TTGTTGGTCAGCGTTTTGATAAAAATGTTCATTCGACACCAGGACCGAAAAACTACACGGCCGAATTCATCCCAATGAGAGATACACTAAAAAATTTTTTTTCTTTGCCAGGAATTTTGTCAGATACATTGGACTACATAAATATTTTAAAAGATGAACAATATCTACATAATATCATTCAAACCGATTTTTGGAAAGAAAAAACTACATCATATAATAAAAGTGACATTGTATTCCCATTATTTCTTTATTATGATGATTTTGAGAGTGGAAATCCTTTAGGATCGCATGCTGGAATCCATAAAATCGGAGCAGTCTATTTCAATGTAGCTTGTTTGCCTCCCAAATATCGGTCTCAGTTAGAGAATATTTTTTTAGCAATTTTATTTCATTCACAAGATTTAAAAGAATTTGGGGAAAAAGTTATGTTTTCAAAATTAATAGACGAACTTAATTTTCTTAAAACCCATGGAATAGAGTGTTCTTTATATGGCAAAAATATAAAGATTTTTTTTTGCATGGCTTTGATTCTTGGCGATAATTTGGGATTAAATTCTATACTTGGTTTTCAACAAAGTTTTATATCAAATTCATTTTGCAGATTTTGTAAGAGTACTCGCTACGAAACTCAATATATGACTAAGGAAAACACGTCCTCACTTCGAAATACAGACAATTATAATGAAGATGTTACTGAAGGTAACCCTTTTGTTACAGGGATTAAATATGTGACAATACTTAACTCTATTGAAACGTTTCATGTTACTAACAATTTTTGTGTAGATATAGCACATGATATCTTTGAAGGTGTAGGTGTTTTCATTATGAGCAATATTTTACATCAATTTATTTTAGTTGACAAACTTTTTGACTTAGAATCATTGAATCATCACATTAAATATTTTGATTTCAGTCAAAATCATAATAAACCACCACTAATTTCATTAGATCAGTTAAGAAAAAAATGCTTAAGAATGTCGGCAATTGAAATGAAATATTTTATTATTAACAGTGGTTTAATGTTTGCACATTTAATCCCAGAAGGTAATCAATATTGGCAACTATATATTCTTCTAAGGAAAGTGCTACATATCGTTATGTCAAGTTTGGTTAAACCAAACATGTATAATAATCTGGCTAGTCTTATAAACGATTTAACTAGCCTATACTTAGAACTATTTTCGGTGACCTTAAAACCGAAATTTCATTTTTTAACTCATTATCCAACCATTATGAGGAAAATTGGTCCTATTTCTCAAACCATGACACTGAGATACGAATCAAAACACCGGCAATTAAAACTGTCTGCAAATGTTAATTCATCTCGAATTAATATTACACATAGTCTAGCTATAAAACATCAACTTAAATTAACATCCAAATTTGTTAATCAAGAAGGTTTTTCTGAAAATGTTTCACCCAAGTTTAGTAAACATTACTCAAGACATATTTCCGATTTAATTCCTGATTTTCCAGATTCACTTAAAAATTTAAATGCAGATTTTGTGTTAAAAAAACTGGAATCTTTTATTATTGATGTAAATGAGGTAAAAAGGGTGACTGCTTACTCTAAAGTTTTTAGGAATAATGATATTATTTTATTACTGATGCATACTGACATACCTACCTTCGGCAAAATTTTTAAAATTATTGTTAATGCAAAGGATCAAATATGTTTTATCTGTGAGAAACTCGAGACAAAATGTTTTGTTGAACACTTGTTTTCATTCGAAGTGGTATTTACAAGTACAATAGATATCATTTTTTTGGATGAAGTTCATCCACTCGATACTTTCCCTATTGTATGCCGAGAAAATAAAAGATATATATCTATCTGTTAAATGGTATACATAAGTGTAGATAAATTGAGTTTTATAGTTTTGTTTTTATTAAAAACATATATATATAATACATAAGTGTAGATAAATTGAGTTTTATAGTTTTGTTTTTATTAGAAACATTTTATGAGAATAAACACAAACTGTACTTTATATTTTAAGGTATTTTATTTCCTCATCCAGCATATATATAGGTATAAAAATTGAAAAAACATGGGTAATTAATTTTCTCATGGTTAACTTGATCACATTTTGATTAATTCTAGAAGTGTAAAGCTGCAAATTTACATTTGGCATTTTGATGTTTGATGCTACCAACTCTACTCTATTTTTAATAATGTTTTGGTTTTGAAGACAATATTAATAATTATTTTAAGCTATGTATCAGATGTGGCTGAATTTTCGGTAAAAATAATTTAAAAAAAAAGTTAGATGCTTATGAAGCACATAAATTTATTTACAATATTTATCAGTATATAGAACTTTTTTTAAACTTACCTATACCGCCTATAGTAATGGCCAGTGATGGTATGTGCAATTTTGTGCAAAAAGATCCATCTAAACATTTATCCTGTGTTAAGAGTTAAAAACTAAGAAGAATAGAATTTGTAAAAATTAATTCTATAAACAAAATTTCTAGACATGTTCATTAATATTATTCATTAGCTTCACAATTATTAATTTGCGGAAAATATATTTTCTACACTGTATTAACTACAAAGTATGGCAGGACAAATGAAGTTTTTAAAATAAGGACTTTGTTGCTTAAAATTGCTCATGCAACAACTAATTTTTCACCATTATACTTAAATAGCATATTATATAGGATGACGCAGTTTTAACAATAACAGGTAACGTTGAGAACCAATACTTGTTCAAATAATATAGGCATTTCATGTAAAAAGACCTAATAAATAATATATATATATATATATATCATGCAACCAAGTGT